CAATCATTCAACCGATGCTGTGGGAAGGGATGAGGAGGAAGAAGGACGACGTTTCCGCACGCGGTGATGGGCGTCATTGGGAGACCCAGCAAATGATCATTCATATACTTTTTGTACATGCAATTGAGCAAATGCTTGCAAGCGTACTTACCCCCGCTTTTCACAATGCATTGACCTGTATGGAGTGTGGTTGTCTTAAAACTGGTGTATCTTCCTTGCTATCGCAGTGATTTCCTGAAATAAGTAAAAGTGTCCACCTATTCGGAGAGGGGCATGCCCTCTGTGGGAACTGGAGCCCACCGTACGCACGATCTCTGCGCGAACTGGAGCCCACCGGACGGATGGCCTCTGCACGAACTGGAGCCCACCGGACGCATGGCCTCTGCACGAACTGGAGCCCACCGGACGCATGGCCTCTGCGCGAACTGAAGCCCACCGGACGCATTGTTGTCGACATTTTGCAAACCAACCAGTTTGGTGGCACACGTGGCATATGTGTGATTACGAGAAACGCCCACCTGGATATAACAATGGCACAGGTGAAGGTACAGCTGGTACACGAAAGGTCCACGCAATCCAAAGTGTGTTTTGGCTTATTCATGTACGGTATTCGCCACTCGTCCTCACGAAAGCACATAAAGATATGGGACCACAGCTGCTCACGGGGCGGGAAATGTCAGATTTCGGTCTCTAGGCTGGACTGCGTTCACAGTGTCAGAAAATCTTGGGAGCAATAACAGTTTTTCGAGGAAGGTTCGGAGCCAACATCATGTTATGGAATACGTCACGAAGGTACATCTTGTTTGCATCCACTGTATATATATATATATATATATATATATATATATATATATATATATATGCACCTGGTCGTACGACCGGTCGTATACACCGGTCGTATACACACCAGTGCGCACCAAGTGCGCACTGATAACTGACTGGTCTGTTTATATAAAGGACGTATTGATGACCAATTTATATTATGCACTGATAGGCAACCAATGGCTTATTTGCGTGGTATGTCGACATGTTTCAAAAACACATCTTCGCACTAATAGCTCCAAAATGCACTTGTCTGCGGCTTGTTGTCGGAAATGAACGCAAGATTGTCGACCTCGCGAATTCCGGCTCTGCGAATCCAATGCTAACATTTACGTGCCTTGCTGTCGCTTTGGGTTGTTCAAAGCACATATTCTAAGAAAGCACATTTACATATGGTGTAATCCTCGCTGAAACTCTGTATTTCGTCGCATTCGACGTCTCACGGCGAGCTGATGCCCACCCCCACCCCCAGCCGATTTTGCGAGACGTCGTGCCACGCCAAAGCCAAGCGGCGGCGCGCGGGCCGGGGTACGCCTCGGACCGCCGTGCGGTCGTGTCGTTGCATTGCCGGCGGCTGATCGTTCAGGTGGATGCAAATGACGGTACCGTCGCGTCACGTTTCTGCCGTCGCGGTGCGCGTGCAGGTGTAAACCTGATACCGGGTCAGAGCATGTTGCCATTTGTTCACAAGAGGCAATGTAAAGTCATATGGGCTCATTCCGTGATGTGTCATGAGCTTGGCATTGAACAAGGACAGAGAGGAAAAGAGGCCTGTGTGAATCAGTGCGCTTTGCGGACAGCTCTCGTACGCACCGGAAGCATGAGAGGTGTGCGGTACTTCAGTGGGCGCAGAAATGACCGCGGTTGTTGACGCGCCCGAAAAATCCAAAAATCATCCAGAGGGCTGTCCCCCTTGAGGAGCGGGGATGTCTGTGCCGCCCAAAGAGTGACTCATGAGTCTTCTTCGGGTACCCGAAGGGCCTCTCTGTATTTCCGGGATGCTTTTCCTCGGTGCTTGACATGAAAGTGACGAATGAGTCTTTCACAAGCTTTGCAAAGGCGTCCAGGCCCCCTGGATCTGCCAAGAGGCCCTAGCTGATCTGGGACGGGTTCCTGTGTCAAAAGAGGGAGGGCTGTACCTGATCAAACAACAAATTTAGTGGCCCAAAAGGAAGCTATGCGGCCCAGGACACACGTAAGCCCCCATTAAGCAGAGTCCTGATTACATTTGTGACATGATCCTTCAGCTGCGGTGTGGTATAGCTACGGCGGCATGAGGACACACCAGCTCCGCCGCCGTCTCCCACCGTCTCCGGCGTCCTCACAGGGCTTCGCAGCTGTGCGATCAGCTGTGACCGAGCAGTTCTGCCATCTTGGCGCCGGCTAGCCAGCTGTGGTATGCCAGTTATACCAGTTATAACCAGTTGTGTTGTACTTGCGTGACCTCTCTTCTGAGACGTCTTTTGCGATCGGACTGCTGCGTCGAAGCAGGATGAAGTGCACGTGAAGCATTGTGTTTGTGTGTTCGCGGGATCGCAATGATCGACTTTCCTTGTGATCGGCACCTTCCAGTCGTGTTTTTAGTGAAGGACTTTTTGACGCTGTAGGAATTCTAAAATGATGTGGCCATAACACAGGCCAGGTTTGGGGAAGTGGGGGTTGGGGTTGGGGATGGAACCCGCTGAGGGTGGTTGTATTGGGGCATCGATTCAGCTGGTGGCGTGACTGCCCAAAATAAAGCGCAGGAGTGACAATACTTCAGGCGTGCAAATTTTGTTGCGATTGAAAAAAACTTGTCAGGAAAAATAATGCCTTGCTTGTTTTAGGAAACACGGAAATAAGACCTTGAAGACTACTGTTTTTTTACAAGCATCCTGACTGGAATAAACATACTTTGGGTGGTTTATGTCGTGGCGGCGTTTAAGTTCATGATGCTACGACCGGAGATCAAGCGCAGGAGTGGTAAAATAATAAATTATTGCTGAATTCGTTTGGGACTTAGCGAGACATTGACAGTACTGATCTTGAATAATCTTTACATACGTGATGTCGACATTAAATGGTGACAACGAGAGCCACAAGCCATAATGACGCGCATACTGTAACTCCGTCACGCTTTCAAAAACCACTGGTCCAAAAGATCTGGTGCACCCAGAGCTGAGAATGCGTCGCGAAATGTCGATTTTCAGTATTTTGTTCTTCCAGAGCTTTTAAGAACGAGCTTATGAGTCACTGATCTGACGGTTAGATGGCACAAACTCGCAGGTGAGGTGCACAAATGCTCTAAACTCGGCCAGCCAAATCGTATTGCCCTGCACAGTGCACTACAGAAGATAGCGTCGACAAATCTGGGGATTTAACCGATCCCTTGTTCCGGGTAGCCTTACGTGCACGTGATTTGTTTGCATATCTTAATATGAGCTTCGACGTTGTTTACTTCTCTGGGTTCAGGCTCGAAACACATGTATTTTTGATATATCTGTATAAAAAAATGATGACTAGAGCTATTTAGAGATCGTATTGTAATGACCGGTCATTGCTATTGTTTGATGGAGTCGACCGCACTGATAGTCCTCGGACCACTTAAGACAATATCGAACTTTGACGTACCTCGTTTGCATACAAGTTACGCCACGCCCTGTCCCCGCGCGGCCTGAGGCGTTACTGCGTCCACATGCTACATCAGCTGTGCCTTGTTCCCGTGCGGCCTGTGCCATCCCCGTTCCCGTGCCCGTGCGGTCTGTACCGCCCCCGTCCCCGCGCGGTCTATGCCGTCCCCGTCCCCTCGCGGTCTGTGCCGCCCCCGTCCCCTCGCGGTCTGTGCCGCCCCGTCCCCTCGCGGTCTGTGCCGCCCCCGTCCCCTCGCGGTCTGTGCCGTCCCCGTCCCCTCGCGGTCTGTGCCGCCCCCGTCCCCTCGCGTTCCGTGCCGCCCCGTCCCCGCGCGGTCTATGCCTTCCCCGGCCGCGCCCCGCGCACGTCCGCGGCACCTGCACGGCTTCGGCGGGCGCGGCGGCGACGGCGGCCGTTTTTCTGGACCAGGCGCTGCTGGTGGCTGCGCCGGCGGCTGGGCGGCGGCCGTTTTGTGGCATTGATTCGGGCCCGGCCGCCGCCGCCGCCGCCGCCGCCGCCGCCGTCGAGTCGCCGAACCGCCGGCAGGCCGCCAGGCCGGCTGGAGGCGCGGTCGATACGCGATATTCGTATCGCGCCGCGCCGCGCCGCTCCCCTGTCGGTCCCCGACGGCGGCCGCGCGCTGCGCCGTACTCGGTGTACGGGTACAGGTGGGGCAGCCCGGCGGCGCGGCGCCGCGGCGTCAGGCGTGCCGA